AATCTTCAGAATTTATATTGAAACCGATTATCATTCAATACTAACTCTGCAAGGCAAAGCGAATGTGCATTCACTGCTTCGAACAAAGCTTTGAAATATCGGGTACAGCTGTAGGCGCATCCAACAACTACTTGAGTTGCTTGTCAGGTGATGTTCTTTGAGATTTGATTTAATTAATTATGGAATTTGCTAAAACCACTCAAATTTTTTGGTCATTCTGAAGAGGTATCTGGAGATGCTTAGGAAATCTAAATTTTGCACTTGGTTTGTTCTCTCTAGCGGTTTCAGAACTCTTCCAAACGTTGGAAATAAAAAATTGCCAAACTTGAGCATTGTAAAGATCATGATTTCAACTTTTTTGCGATTATCTTAAAACCGCAAAAGCAATTAGTCTCAACATTACGGCTGCAAAGAAGAAGAAGACTGCAAACGGCTTCACAAGTGTTTGACCATTATTCTACGTGTTTCTATGATAGATAAAGACAGAAAAAACTTCGAAACGGCCTAATATAGATCAAACAGTAGAATAACAGAACAACAGAACATTACTGAACTTGTTGTACATAATATTGGGCTTATATCCACGTCGGTTACAGTGTCTCTTATAAAATAAACGAAACATAATAAACAATGAATGCATAGCAATAGTACGAACTCTTTGTACTGAAATAATGCTCGGCAACTTTCTAACATCATCTGATGGTAATCTTAGTGCCAATATGTCAATTGTTTTCCGATCAGCAGTCAATGATTAATTGTCTAACAGAGAGACATTGCTGGTTGTGCATCGTTTATCAGAAAAGAAACTCTAAAAATTGCGAAAAAAATCGGGGTGTACCATCACTTTTGATTTACCCTAATCATTCACTTCGCACTCTGATAGGTGTAAAAATTGATCTTCGTAAAATCAAGCTCATCAAAAAAATTGTGTCATGCTCTGATGATTATCTTATTACAAGCACAAGTAATGTCTTCTTATCACATGCACAAATTTGCTCAACGCACCTGTGCTTCTAGTAAACGTCAGAAAATAGCACTTGCTTTGAAACACCTATTTCATCAGATTGAAGAAGAAATGGTGCGTCTCATGCAGAGATCGTTTCATTGGAATGCTTACCATCGCATGCGGTCGTGATAACTCCTGTACTTTGAACGTGCTGGCATTCAGTGTTGCAAAAAATTCAAGATAGAGGTGTAAATTTGATTTCAGAATTTCAAAGTAGATATGCTCTTTCAGATTTTACAATCAATGAATTTCTAGAATTTTGCACGCATTTCAACAGAGATAGGACTTAGCAACAATGACCGCCCCTAAAAATAAACACTCGAAGAAGATTGTTTCACAATTCTCCTTACCTACCTTTCAGGGAGTTGCAACAATCAGATCCGATTTACGAGATCCTTCAAACGACGACGGGCGGAACAACAACAACAACAACGCCAGCATCTGCAACAACAACAGCAGCAGAGGAAGCTACTACAACAGCTTCAGAGTCTGCTGCCTCGACGACGACTACAGCAGCAGCGACAACGACTACGGCGGCGGGGACAACTGCCGGGGAAACCACAACAACAGCAACGAGGGGGACCAGGACCACTTCTTGTATCCCACGGCGCAAAGCCCTGGTTTTGGTGGAAGAATTTATTTTGCTTAGAGAAATTTTCAAAATGTGCACAAAAAATTCCGCGGAATTTCGTCCTAGGCTCTCACTAGATCTCTTTAGCAAATTAAATGAATAGGGGCAAGAGCAGTCTTGTTGCTCATAGACAGGCCAAGAAGAGAACTCGAAGTTTCAAGAATGTATGAGTCGGAAGGCCAAACTTCATATGTGGCCCACATGAATTTAACGGGGTGCGAAAAATCCATTTTTTTGCCGATTTCGTTATGCTTTGATGATAATCGTCTTCTCCATATTCTTTCTCTTGTCCCACTGTGGTTCCTCCTACTTCGGTTCTTAGTCAATGATCAAGCTTAAAGGTCCCAGAAGCTGTCCTGAAATGCATGTGTGCCAAGTTTGGTCCGGATCGGTTCAGAAATAAAATTTTCTATCCAAAACATACGTACATACAGACATACAGACAGACATACAGACAAACAGACACTCTACTTTATATCTAAGATTTGAAAAATCTTACGTCTGTATGTGCTCTAATCATTGAAAGGCTCGAAAATTCAAATAACCTCACTTATGCATAGATCTGTGCGTCCACAATGCGATGACCAATCGGAAGGTTTGCAAGATCACTCTCTGGTAGAGATCTAATTTCTATAATAACAGGGTATCTTTTGGGTTTGGCTTCTAAGTTGAAGGAGATCACAGTTTTGAGAGTATCTTCATCTTTGCTTTGCTCTACCGAACGTTTTCACGTATTTTCGGTATTTACTCTGCGGCTGTCGCATGAGAGACTCAGTTTTGTACCAAATCAACGACTGAAAAATGATTTGAGGAACATGCTTCCTGTGTTACGTACGTTTTATAACAGCCAGTGAGAACTCTGCAAAGCAGAGTCATTTATTATGCGCATGCAAGCCAGTATGCACACCTGATTTGTTCGTAGCGATCATTTATTTGCAATACGACATCTATCAGAGCGATGATTTCTAGTATGTCTTTTGACTCCTCAACTTTTGAAGTGAGAACTTAGAAAGATGTTAACGAAGTTTGGCAAGATGGGGTTGCTAATAAATGCTCCTGGACCTCTGAGGAAGGAAAAGTCAAAAAATGGATAAGGTAAAAAGGACGAAGAATCACTCAACAACCTTTACTGCTCAACAGTTACAAAGAACGACGCTTAGATGCAAAAGTAAGACAATCTCGAATTACTTTTGTAGACGTTTTCTCCGGAAAACACAAGTCTTGACGGATCTGCGAGTAGATAAGCGAAACTACATTTTATAATAGATAAATGTTGCCAAATGACCGAGCTCTGGCTAATCGCTTCTAAAGTTGTTTGTAGATCTGCCCTCAATGGAAACAATTTGAAAAGCTTTTTCTTGAGCTACTGTCAATTTGCCAAGCAACTCAGCAACTCAGTCTGAAAAGCCGTATAGCTGAGGATAAGGCCACACTGCGATGAATGCAGCATGCCGCCTAAGCCAAGCACATTGGCAAACTCTCTGAGAACAATATTCTGCTCTCTCAAAGCTGCCAAACACAAGTACTGCTCATTTCTACTCAAGAGACCTGTTGCACAAGTTCGCTAAAGGGTACATAGCAAAATTTTAGTACTCAAAAGAAATCAAAAATGAACAGGCTGCACATTGTTCTTTGGTAAGATCTAGGAAAAATCTTTGGTTCTTATGTCAGTTCGCTAGATTTTTGGTGAATATCTCATTTCGTAGAGCACTTACAGCGCAGAAATGCAATCACCATTGGAAAGAAGACCATGTGAGCAAACTGTGCATTGAAGTCTTCTAGAAACGAGATGAAAACGCAGTTTTTGAATACGATGTCATAACACCTACTCGGTTGGCACATAAGTTTTGCAATAATTTCCATTTCCTTACTTTTCTCTTTTTGACCATGACGCATTTTTTTTTGGGCTAATATAGTTTAGGTAGCAGGCTACAAATATGCGCAATTAGTTTGATTTTTAGTAGTGAATTAGAGAAGAACCACACCAATTCGAAAGTTGGTCAAACTCTAAGTTCAAGGGCCGGAAAAAATTCGGCCGTCAAAATAAAACTGTTCTCAGTTTGAATGCAACGCATCTAGCCGAAACTGATTAGATCATAGGGATTCCTCCATCTACTATCTGAGTGCAGTTTTGGCTTGATTTGTTTAATTCATACTGAGAACGGCTGTATTTTTGGTTTTCTGACCCTTGAAACTTCAAATTTGACCAGCTTTCGAAGATTGCAAGAATTTCCTCTACTTCGCTACCAAAAAGTCAAACCGTTTGCGCACATTTGTAGCCTACTACCTAATCGATTTACATTATGGCCAAAAGTGATCGAGTCACATTTAAAAAAAGAAAAGTTACAAAATTAGTTGAACTTAACTGTCAACTTGTTACTAATGTCCCAGATTCGATTTTAGGCGGTCGCTGATAAGAAGCAAAACTACTCAGGGTTTCGCCACCTATTCACTCTATTTTTGTCGTTCGCTGGCGAAGGAAAGAGAACGCAACAAAAAAAGCGCAGGCGTGCCACTCCAGTGCGTAGTGTTCGGGGCAGTCGAGTGTCGTGCAATCCTTCAAGAATTTAGAATTCTGGAAGAGGTTTCAGAAGACTATCCAGCAAAATTTGCAAAAAATAGAGAAAGATCAAAAGTTGCCTTGGTGATTTTGATTTATCTGCTGGCTGGAGAGGTTCTTCAAAAGTTTTAAGTAGGAATTTTGAAAATTAGCTACAGCTACACAAACTGAGAAGCATAGATTGCAGATTGCGGTTATCTCAGCATTCCTTTGATAACCTTATGTGCATAGCTGCAGAAAAGAGGAAAAGATTCTGTTGTGATTAGTGGTTGACTGTTTGTTTGACTTCAGTTAATGGGGTTCGGGGTTCGCTTCGGGTGTTTCGCCCACTGACAGCCGATATTTCGTGAAGAGCAGATATTCGGTGCAGAGAACAAGTGTACATGATTAATATACTGACCGCTCAAAAAATGCAACCTTCGCAAGAAGGGAACACACGAATATGTGTTAGGCAGGAAATTGGCGTTCTAAGTAGGCACTGCAAATGAGAGGGGTTGTGACTTATATCAAGGCATCGACGGGGATCAGATAGCGCCAGGTTCAGCTGATACATAATATTCGTGAGCAAGTTTTGCCTATAGTATATCTTTTGAGTAGTGCACACTTCATACAATGCCATGGAACAGTTTTCTAAATCTGATTGTAAGATTTCGCATGTTAGTGAAAATTGATAGGCAGCCCTGCAAGACCACTGTTGTAGCACATGGAAGAGCGTTGTAGCAAGTTTTATAGTAGTTATGGAGACAGATGAAAAAATGATTTTACAAGTTTTCGCCAATTCTTCGCAAATCCGATCTCTCCACTTATGATAGAGTGCAAAGTGCATCTTCCGTGCACCAGGAACCAGATGCACAACCCGTGCAAGGAGTTCCTTTTTTGTAGATGACTTGCTCCACATAATTACCTCTGAAAAGAATAGTTTATAGGCACAGTTCAAAAAATTAATAATTCTTTGGTGTACCTGGGAGAATATCGACAAGCTGCGACATGCTCTCCGCCGCATTTTGCAACGGCACAACCAAGCTTGCGAGATGTGGACCATCCCATCTCAAAAAAATTATCAAAAAACATTCTCATTTCAATGTATTTTAACTTTCAATCTCTCCTTTCATGAACCAAGTGTTGTAATCGAGTATAAGTTTTACATTAATTCACTGACCTGTGTAAAAGATTCTATCGGAGTACCCACATGCTTTTGCCTAAAATACACTTGCATACCAGGACCTTCTTCAGAACGTATCACTTTCCACCAAGATGTAACAGCCTAAATAACAGCTGATCAAAAATGATTTTTTTGCTTTTTTCCACCTTCTCAGTTGCAGCCAAATACGTAGCTTCTTCAGGAATGCGGATAAAATTCTCGCCAACATTAGGTCGCGAGGATTCAGCGGATTTGCTTGATGGGCATGAACTCAAATTCTCGGCGACGTCGTTCTCCAAGGCACAATCATATCTCTAAAGCAGAAAAACGAAATTACAAGCTTTACAATAAAGCTGCGCAACCATTCTTTGCATATCAGAAGATTGAGGTAGATAGTTACCGTTCCGTTTGGCAACATTCCCCAATGCCAATTGAGCTCTAGAAGTATTGATTCTTGAGTTAAAAGCGGTTCAGCATCTATTAGGTTGGTGCATGAATTTGAGCGTTTTCTGAGTTCTCACTGTGTGCCATAGCTTTCTAGTTTACCGACATTTTTGAGCGCGATACAGCCATCAGAAGCAGCAACCTTTCGCAATACAGCGTACATACACCTGTACTCATATAACGGGCAGAAAAATACGGATTGATAAACAAAAACGTTTTTTCTGAAGCTTTGACAAATCATGACTTCCCTCATAGTTTGGATTGTAGATTGTCGATCTTGTAGCCACAAGCCAGTAGTACAAAAGAAGATGAAAAGCGTTTGACAAAGAGCATTTGCAAAAAGAAGAAGATCAAAATTTAAAATTGTCAGCTTTTTTCAACACTACGCCGATATCCCAGTTCGCCTACATTCAAAAAGCAGTCAAGTGTGCAGAATGTAGACATGGTCTATTACATGCAGTTGCTGAATATCCAAACGAATGCTGTTATTCGCGCCTGAATATTCTGATTAGAAAAGTAAATGCAGTCAAAATTTCGTTCTGAGTGCGATTGTTCAAAGCCCTGTAAGCTAGAAGACCATTTCAACCGTCGTGAAAAGAGCTTCTCAACAGTGTGCTAAGTCTTATCTAAAGAAAAAAGTTTGATGAGAAAAGTATTCTGGAAATAAAGCTTACATTAGAAAACTCCCGTTATTTTTGCACCAACCTAATACAAAAACGATAATATTCCCACCTCCGATAATTGTGCATATCCAAAAACTTGAATCTAAGCTCATCGTACATTCTGGTATTTTATGGGCACCTATCGTTTGGTCCTAAAATTACATCATTGGAACAACTAGAATGACAAAGGCCAGATTCTCAATTATGCTTGCCAAAAATTCAACGTTATCATTAGAACTCTAATTTCGTTTCTGGTTTCCTTTGTGATATTCAGCACAACTTCTCAACACTATGTACACTGCAAGCCTGATTGTTAATTCTTGATGAAGAACGTACATAACAAAAAGATTCTCTACAATGCCTACATAGTGTTCCAGAGAATGCTACAAGAGCCTCACAGCCGCTCTCTAACGTTAAAAATTTTGTGACCAACATGAAAACCTGCAAGTTTTTGTAGAAATGGGCTAAAACAAGAAATTTAAGAAAATTTTATGGAACTCCCAGAGCCTTCATGATTTTTGATCAAAGGCAGCGACTCGGCAGAATGACAACTTTTGATATTCATTGTTCTTAAATCCCTTGCATGAGCTGAGTGAAGCCGCACTTTGCAGCTTTTGTTTGGGCGGATCGCGAAAGTGGCTTTGGATCCAACGATATAATTGCCGCCGAGATGGGTACGGTGTCTCCATTCACGAGCCAATCGCGTTGTAAAGGGCAGGCTTAAGCCGTCCGCCCAAACAGCACTTTTTACTTCTGAAAAAGCGGGTTATTAATATCTTTGAAACTGCAAAGCACAGCCTTGGACTAAGCTTGTCCAGGGGTATCAAGAACGATGATATCCCAAAGTTGTTCTGCCGAGTCGCTGCCTTTAATTGATGATTTAGTTCTATCAATAGCGTTAAGGTGAATGTAGTGCCCCTGCCCAATATTTGCCAGCATCTGCGCGTGATACCCCCATAAGGCCGGAAATTATTGCGTAGATGGCTGTAGAGCGCATTCCGCCACTTGACAACTTGCTGTCGCGCGACTATTATCAGAAATGTAGGCACTGCGTTAACACTATTGTTAAACATTTTTATGATCACTATAAAAATTACTGTGCTCTGCCTTTTTGTCATTGAAACTATCTGACTTTTCACATGCCACGTATCATCTATCTATGAATGCTTTCATTGATAGGATTAGGGAAGAGGAAAAACTTGAGAAAGTCCGCACTGTAGGCTCGACGAGTTGAATCCACTTGTAGGAGAAGTATTGTTGGTGTGCTGTATATTCACAAAACAGCAAAACGTCAGACGAGTTCATAAGATAAATACCGTATAAATATAGACGTTGCCAAAGTGGATTAATAACATGCCAATTTGTACAGCTTGCCTTCCTCTATCAGTGGTATGTTTCCCTACATTTATATATCTCTACGCGGCAAAATGAAAAACTCGACTTATTTGCACCTATCCTGTATATACATACCCGTGGCGGACCGAGGAGGGGGGGGGGGGGGGAGGGAGGGGCGCCCCTCCTCCACAATTGGTCGCAAAATTTTCGCAATTTACTTACATGGGTTATAAAAACGTGTAAATGACTTGTCTGTACTTGTAAATAATTAGATCGATTTTTAAAAGTTTTTAAAATTCGTATAGGCCTTATAAAAAAAATTTTCGGGGGCGTGGCGGGCCCGCAAAAATTTTGGAAAGCACCTCAAAAAACTTTTCGACCTTCGTTCATAAAAATTTTGCCCCTTCCCCCCCCCCCCCCTCCCGGAGAGAAATGCTGGGACCGCCACTGATACATACATTTAACTCGCTTAGGAAGCTGATCTGAAGCCTATTTGCATTTGCAAGGATACCTTGTAGTAAAAATTGTGACATTTTTTGATGACGAGGTTGCACTGTTGTAGGGGAGCAGAGTGGCTATGCAAGATTTTCTTGCTCTTTTTCTATCAAGTTCGAACTGATTAAGGCTGATGCAATCGAGATTGATCTTGCTCCGTAGCACAAAGCAGCAACTTGGCCTGCATCATGGCATTGATGGATGGTACCACACAAGTTTTATTAGGAGAGATGTTATAACTTCCTCTGAATTCGCTTTGCAGATAACGAACATAGATTTGAGATCGACCTTCCAAGCGAGTATAACCTCGAATGACTTCAAATTCTTCCCTATTGAATCAACACTTTCCCCATCAACGTCAACGTCGATGTGATAGAAGCTCCTTGTCAACAGTTTTTTTCACATGACAAAGCCTGGACTTACCCGCTGAAGGTGAAGGGAACGCAGCCTGTGGTTGTGGTCCTGGTCCGGGTCCGACTGCAGTTGTAGCTTTGCGCCGTGGGATACAAGAAGTGGTCCTGGTCCCCCTCGTTGCTGTTGTTGTGGTTTCCCCGGCAGTTGTCCCCGCCGCCGTGGTCGTTGTCGCTGCTGCTGCAGTTGTCGTCGAGGCACCAGACTCTGAAGCTGTTGTAGTGGCTTCCTCTGCTGCTGTTGTTGTTGCAATGCTGGCGTTGTTGTTGTTGTTGTTCCGCCCGTCGTCGTTTGAAGGATCTCGTAAATCGGATCTGATTGTTGCAACTCCCTGAAAGGTAGGTAAGGAGAATTGTGAAACAATCTTCTTCGAGTGTTTATTTTTAGGGGCGGTCATTGTTGCTAAGTCCTATCTCTGTTGAAATGCGTGCAAAATTCTAGAAATTCATTGATTGTACATAAAATCTGAAAGAGCATATATACTTTGAAATTCTGAAATCAAATTTACACCTCTATTCTTGAATTTTTTGCAACACTGAACGCCAGCACGTTAAAAGCACAGGAGTTATCACGACCGCATGCGATGGTAAGCATTCCAACGAAACGATCTCTGCATGAGACGCACCATTTCTTCTTCAATCTGATGGAATAGGTGCTTCAAAGCAAGTGCTATTTCCTGACGATTACCAGAAGCACAGGTGCGTTAAGCAAATTTGTGCATGTGATAAGATGACATTACTTGTGCTTGTAATAAGATAATCATCAGAGCATGACACAATTTTTTTAATGAACTTGATTTTACGAAGATCAATTCTTACACCTATCAGAGTGCGAAGTGAATGATTAGGGTAAATCAAAAGTGATGGTACATCCCGATTTTTTTCGCAATTTTTAGGGTTTCTTCTCTGATAAACGATGCACAACCAGCAATGTCTCTCTGTTTGACAATTAATCATTGACTGCTGATCGGAAAACAATTGACATATTGGCACTAAGATTACCATCAGATGATGTTAGAAAGTTGCCGAGCATTATTTCAGCACAAAGAGTTCGTACTATTGCTATGCATTCATTGTTTATTATGTTTCGTTTAATTTATAAGAGACACTTTAACTGACGTGGATACAAGTCCAATATTATGTGCAACAAGTTCAGTAATGTTCTGTTGTTCTGTTATTCTGATGTTTGATCTATATTGGGTCGTTTCGAAGTTCTTTCTGTTTTTTTCTATCATAGAAACACTTAGAATAAAGATGGTTTAACACTTGTGGAGCCGTTTGCAGTTTTCTTCTTCTTTGCAGCCGTAATGTAAATTGTTTTCGCGGTTTTAAGACGCAAAAAAGTTGAAATCATGATTTTACAATGCTCAAGTTTGGCAATTTTTTATTTCCAACGTTTGGAAGAGTTCTGAAACCGCTAGAGAGAACAAACCAAGTGCAAAATTTAGATTTCCTAAGCATCTCCAGACACCTCTTGAGAATGACCAAAAAATTTGAGTGGTTTTAGCAAATTCCATAATTAATTAAATCAAACCTCAAAGAACATCACCTGACAAGCAACTCAAGTATTGTTCGATGTAGCTTTTTCTCCTCTTTCCGACAGGCATTGTTCTTCCCGATTCAAGGAACCTTCTCGGAAGAAATCATACTGTGAGTTGTTGGATGCGCCTACAGCTCTACCCGATATTTCAAAGCTTTGTATTTCGAAGCAGTGAATGCGCATTAGCTTTGCCTTGCAAAATTAGTGTTGAATGATAATCGAGTTTCAATATAAATTCTGAAGATTTTTCGTTGTGTATCAAATGACTTTGCACAAGTGAAGAAGTTTTTGGAAATTACATTGAAAGATACTAAGAAGCTAGTCTCCCAAAAAATTCGTTGTATTGCACTTTTTTACCCTATTCATCAATTAGGTTAATGCAAAAGTTCTGCTGCATCATTTTTGAAAAATCTCAACTTCTTGCTCTCTCAAGGATTTGCATACACTCATTTTTGCTGGATAGAGGAAACCATTACTTTTGAGTGGCTTCCCTGCTTTTTGATAGGAGTAGCTTTTGAGACGGAAAGAGAATAAATTTACTTCAACTTCGCTCATTTTGAGTTAGGTTGCTAAAAATCAACTGCGATAAAAATCCGAGCAAGTAGTGTAGTAATCTTCTAATCCATAGTTTCCGACAGTGCAGAGTTTGTGTCAAATAGACTTCGGTGAAGAGTTATGATCTTAGAAAAAAAGGCCAAAAAATCAAATTTGTTGTTTTATATTGCTTACCCAAAAATCATTACTCTTCACAGAGTTGCTCTTTCAACATGAAATTGCGTTATTGGAAATTGTAGATCAAAAGGCTTACTACAGTACTTGCCAGGACTTTTATCGCAAGTGTCAGATTTTTAGCAGCTTGGGACAAGAAATAAGTGACCATGCTGATTATGAATACATATTTTCAGAATCACTGATTACCTTTATTAACCCTATGATTTTTCACAAACTATACCCCGGGTAGTTAGGAATTGGTACAGAGAGTGGAACGCATTAGCACGCAAATTACTAACGGATTCAAAGATAGTGCTATGACAAATTTTGTATTTTGCATGTTTTAGGCCTTTTCGACATGTAGAACTCAAAATTAAGCTTCAAAACGGGTGAAAAAACCGTTTTTGGGGGGCGTTTACCCAACTTTTAAAAGCTTGGACGGGAGTTTCAACTGAAAGTTGGGAGGCCCTGGCGAGAAGCCTGCCGCCTGTGATTTTTGCTTTGGATAGCATGCACAATACGGAAGCGGTCGAGGGGTCGCCCGTGTAAGTGAAGCGTAAGTGAGCGCGCGCCGAATGGGGTTGGCGCGCCGGTTCGGTAGGCCCCGGGTCAGGTGTCACACCGCGGCGGCGGGGAACGGAACTTACCTATAGTGTGGACCCCGGCCAAGTTCTCATATGTACCTCCGCGCCGCGCACGCAGCGCGCGTCGGGCTGCCTTCCAGGCGTTCCTCCCGTTTTCGCATCCTTTCAAATCTCTAAGCTTCTTTCTTTTACTTTCTCCGTTCTTTGTGCTTGTACTCTGTATTTTAGGCAAGATATGGCAGATAACCGCTCAACACGCCGTCTTCCCTGTTATCCAACATGTTTGAGTGGCTAAATCAGGTAAGACTCGGTCTGCCAATTGCTGCAGCTGACTCTTCTCTTGAAGTTCCTTCTAGGTTACCTCAGATCCTGCCCGAGGACTCGCTGGGTCGCACACTTTGTCTAAACAAGCTTGATCTTGTGTTTAGCACGTTTATCGTATATTTGGACCATCACACTTGTGATTTTTTCATCTACAATTCATGTTTCGAACATCAAGATGGCTCAATCGTTTACCCGAAGAAGTCACAGCAGCAACTCATCGGTCTTCCCTAAAAGATTGGCCCAAATTGATGTCCTAGAAACCTTGAATATGCCTGATGTTTAGCTTCCATCCTGCCGAGTATTCCAGCATCGTCGTTTTTAGCGAGATGCACAATTCGGGCTAGCTATCTCTGTCATTCTCGAGCCGCTAAGTCAGTGTGAACTTATCTTTTCTTGTCCTTATATCTCATGATAATGGTGAATTCTCCTGCTTTCCTGCGATTCTAGCTTTATTTACTCTCACACCGGTTCTTCCGCGGGGATAGTCGTTCGAGGAATTCGAGGATTGGTGGCCCTTCTTCTTTGAGGTCCTCCTTGTCCGCCCGCCCAGGGTCCCCGACGGAACATCAAGATTTCGAACATTTCGAACATCAAGATGGCTCAATCGTTTACCCGAAGAAGTCACAGCAGCAACTCATCGGTCTTCCTTAAAAGATTGGCCCAAATTGATGTCCTAGAAACCTTGAATATGCCTGATGTTTAGCTTCCATCCTGCCGAGTAGGTACTTTTCCGTTATCCAGACCCTTTTTTTCAAAAGGCTCTCATTAATGCGATTTAGTTTGAGGTCAATTTTTTTATAGATTCTCCGAGGACCGCCTCCCTGCCACGTGTCAGAAGAAAATTGACATGTTTTGGTCCATTTTTACATGTTTTTTTCGAAAGTATTCGCCATGAGGTAAAAGAGCATTTGTGATCACCTAAAAGCTGTTTAACGGTTTCTGTAAGAGAAAAACGATTTAGAACTTATATTAGGACATTTATTGCTTTTAGAAATGATTCAAAAATGACTTTCCCTACAAACTTTGTCCGCCATGCGATTTTAGCGAAGATGGACTGTAAATTATGGCTGAAGTACCTCGCTACTGCTTTTTTCGCCGCTAAAATGATGAGAATCTATCACAATTCTCTACTCTGAGCAAGCCCAGTCTGTTCATTAATAATAGGATAACGTCATAATCATAATGATATTTATTTTTGAACTGGTTTACTCGAAAATGGGGTCATTATTAATTGAAAAATCGATTGAACTTAAGTCAGTAGGTAGGGCAATACAAACTCTTGGTAAAACCTGCTAAACATGTGGATGACATGTCAAATTTTTTTGACACGTGGCAGAGGGTTGACGCTCCTCTCCTATGAATTTAGGAGCAAATATGATACAAAGAAAGAAGCAATATCCTTCTTTGAAAAAATGGGTCCGGATAACGGAAAAGTACCGCCGAGTATTCCAGCATCGTCGTTTTTAGCGAGATGCACAATTCCGGCTAGCTATCTCTGTCATTCTCGAGCCGCTAAGTCAGTGTGAACTTATCTTTTCTTGTTCTTATATCTCATGATAATGGTGAATTCTCCTGCTTTCCTGCGATTCTAGCTTTATTTACTCTCACACCGGTTCTTCCGCGGGGATAGTCGTTCGAGGAATTCGAGGATTGGTGGCCCTTCTTCTTTGAGGTCCTCCTTGTCCGCTCGCCCAGGGTCCCCGACGGAACATCAAGATTTCGAACATTTCGAACATCAAGATGGCTCAATCGTTTACCCGAAGAAGTCACAGCAGCAACTCATCGGTCTTCCCTAAAAGATTGGCCCAAATTGATGTCCTAGAAACCTTGAATATGCCTGATGTTTAGCTTCCATCCTGCCGAGTATTCCAGCATCGTCGTCTTTAGCGAGATGCACAATTCGGGCTAGCTATCTCTGTCATTCTCGAGCCGCTAAGTCAGTGTGAACTTATCTTTTCTTGTCCTTATATCTCATGATAATGGTGAATTCTCCTGCTTTCCTGCGATTCTAGCTTTATTTACTCTCACACCGGTTCTTCCGCGGGGATAGTCGTTCGAGGAATTCGAGGATTGGTGGCCCTTCTTCTTTGAGGTCCTCCTCGTCCGCCTAAGGTTAAGTTGTTCTGCAAGCCCTGGCTTCCTGTTACAGCAACTGCGTTCGGATCAGGGATCGGGATCTCGGTCGAGGGTTCCCCACCTTCTGCACTAGGAGAACGACCTGATTTCTGTGACAATTTTT